CTGAATTAAACAAACTCACGACCAGTAATTAAAATGATATGGTAGTGTTATTTTTTAAAAAAAAAATCTTAAATATAAATGAGTTGAAATATTCAAAACACTCATAGATTCACGTAATTTGCACAATTGATTTCAAATTAAAAAAAAAAATGAACCGATTTTCTAGCTTAAGTTATAATGACGTGAAACATACAAAATCTAAATTTCAAATTGATTTTCTGCTGTAACATTAAAAATTGATCCTTTCAGCTCATTTCCAAACTAATGTGTTAAAGATTTTAAAATCTTCAAATCAATTTTTTTATGCACGTGATCTCTTAAAATTAATACAAAATACAAATTTCCAACCTCATTTCCATAACTGGTAAGTCAAAATTTTGACCTATTTTTTAACTTTCCACAAATGGTTTTTCCATCAACCTTTTTATATATATAGACTAAATTTAGGATAATAAATTAATAATTTATTAGACATACTTTTAGGATAATAAATTAAATAATTTATTAGACATACCTTTGCGTAGACGAAATAAAATATACAACAAATGATCTTCTAATATTTTTTTTTTAAAATAACATAATGATGTTCTAATATAAAAGAATAAAATTAAATATTACAAACCCAACAAAAGTCTATATATAACTTTTTTAAACTTTCTTGAAAATTTTGAATTGCCCATATTATCCTCAAAAATATTGTGTAATTTGTGATTTTAAATTGGAGGTGATAAGGATGTAGCTCATCCAACCACATTTAAATAAAAATTTGGATTGTCAATACCACCTTCAAGAAAAAAGAATGTGACTTTCGGTTGAAGTATATAAATGTAATTGATATGGGATATTATATACTAGACCGGTTCGCGGGGCTAACCGGAGAAAATAGGCCGGTTCGTCGGATTACCTAAATAAGAACGGACCGAATGATGTGGTCGAGCAGGACCAGACACCTGCAACAGAGGACATAAAGCAGATAGCAGAGACTAACGAGAACATAAGTGGTCGACAGGGGCGAGTTACTAGAGGAGTTGGTCGAAAGAGGGTGGTCGGATAGTGCGTGGTCGTATGGAAATGGTCGAATATTGGAGCGAACAAGGAAACCCCCAGCACGTGAAAGGAGGACACGCGGCACTCTGTGATTGGACCAGGGAAATAACGAACTCTGACATTCCCTGACATGGCTGACGCGTTTTCTGACACCAGAGAAAGTGGAGGCGCGCGGCTGTACGGATGAGCAGGGGACGAACGACGAGACTCGCTTAGTGACGCGTGGGCAACAGGTAGCTCGTCCCTATAAATAGGGACGAGGACTCTCACTTTAG